TACCTCCAAGGATATCTTGTAGAAAATCCCATATAAACCCTTATAATTCGATGCCATATTGTGTTGCTTGTGTGGTTCATAGAGAGAGCTTGGACTGCCCGTGGACTTTCTAGATCACTGGGTTGATGTTTTTCAAAATGGAGTCAAACCTGATGTCAAAAGAGTTTACCAGAATGCTGATGTATGCATCGATATTCCTGGAGTCTTCTTCTTCGAGGAAATTCTGGAAGCTTTTCCTGATTGTAAAGTGATTTTGAGCGTGAGAGAGGAAGATTCGTGGTTAGAAAGTCTTGTGCGTCAATTGGATTCATTAGATGCTTCAGGATCCAAGGTTGCGCCGATGTTATCGCAAACAGCGAGGAAAATGGCGCACGTTTATCGTTCGTTCCTTAATGCCGCCTATGGGTCTTGCAACACCAAGTCCACCTATGTTTTAAGAAAGCGATACCGCATCCACAACCACCGTGTAAAGTCCATTGTTCCCGCTGACAAGCTGCTGGTGTACAACGTAAAAGAAGGATGGAAGCCATTGTGCGAGTTCTTGGAGTGCGAGGTTCCCACTGTTGCCTTCCCACATGAAAATATCAAATCTGAAATTACTAATACGATCATGATGACCAGGTTTGGCCAGCAAATGAATCGGGAATTTCGGAGTGGTGTTTTGAAAGTCGGTTTCTTTCTGCTAGTTATTGCAGGAGTATTTCTGGCCATCCTTTTGAATCACTGAGCATAACCTCAGAGTATAATAACAATGACGTCTTCGAAAACTTTGCTAATCTCGCTGATACTTTTTGGTTTGTCTTGAGTTTCAAGTCGATAGTTTTACTGCATTATGAGAGTAAATACATTATTTTTTTCTGTATTGTCAAGTTCGTAAGGATCGAAGACTGTCTAAAAACTCTAAGGGTGAATGAGTAAATCATCGATTTTTGACATCGGTGTTGTTTTGTTTGAACTTTTAGGGCCGATTATTTAAAGTGCCACTATAATCAAATTCTCGATGCCCATTTTTTTACATTTTCGTACACAATAGGTCTTTCCAAGATATCTTGCCAAATTTCAATCTATTACGAACATTAGAACTCGCGGTTTTTGGACCTTTATTTTCGAGAATTTACAGCCGCCATTAATTTTCTTTGTTCCAAGTCTTGGTTCAGAACTGGAGAAAATGACGTCATTTTCTCAAAATACCACACAGATTGAAATTATAATAACAATTAGTACAGCAATTCGTATAAAGAATAACAAAAACTTTGGCTCATATATTCGTGCAATTTTCTACATTAATTGTTAGATCTCTTAACACCAAGTCCGCCTATGTTTTAAGAAAGCGATATCGTATCCACAACCACTGTTGCCTTCCCACATGAAAATATCAAAGCTGAAATTATTAAGACGGTCATGATGACCAGATGTGGCCAGCAGGTGAAATGGGAAGTGCAGAGAGTTGTTTTTGCAATCGGCTCAATTCTGGCAATAATGTTAGAGGCAATTCTGGCTATCTGTAAAAGTCAGTGAAACTGGCCTCGGAGTAATCTTCGCTCATTAGTTAGTTGTTTTGTGAACTGACACAAAAGCAATATTCCATTAGGAGAGTTAATTCAATTTCTTGTATTGTAAGTTCGTAAGTTCCAAGTGAAGGGGAAAAAAGCTTTGAGTCCCAACTTTACTGTTTACGTAGCCGTGTCAGAAAATCTTTGTGCTATCATATATAAGAAAGGTAATCTCCGTCGAAGACGAAAATTTAACCCTGATTGCTTTACGAGTCTCCTTCGCAGCCTCGCCTCGGATCGAGGTCACGCGGTTGCTTGAAACCAACATACATTCCTTTGCGAGTCTTTTCCGTATTCTATTTAATTTGGTTCGTCACGCATTCCTCTTACCTTTATGTATTATAAGTACCTAAAAAGGACTATATAATAAACTTGGCGCAAGTACGTCACTTCTGCAACTTTTAGCTTATGGCTGCGTTCAAACAACTGTTTTCGCATGTCTTATATCACGTTTGCGCCCAAATCGCGTGACTGTATATCTGTATTACAATTCAACACCTCGTCGCTTTGGCTTCCTTACGATGCCACTGTTTTACAGTCACCCAAAAAGTCAGTAAGAAACTCATACAGCAGTCGCTCCCTATCGTTTTCTTTCGAAGAAAGGAAAATTAAGGAAAGCGTTAAACACTAATTAACTCTTCTGTGTATGTGACTGAGTCAAAGAAAAGTCGTTGTTCAATAATACCAACAAGGACCACTTGCCACCAGACCTCGCTTCTTATTTTGCATACCATCATTTATTATATGGTTAGCTCCGTGACCGGGAAAGATGAATCAAATCCTGCGCTGTAATTGGCTACCCGAGCGGGCAAGATGGAGCTATCTTGCCCGCTCGGGACTACCCGACGTGTCCCGCAAGAAAAATTTCCGCGAAAGCCATATAATAAATCCTTTATTGACCAAGCTT